ATGTAGAACCAACCCATGGGCCTTCATATCATTTTGTTAAATTTCAACTTTTTTTAACCATTTTGGAATATAAAAAAATAAACAACAAATCTCTTAGAATTAAATAAAGTATCATACTATTGTTCAAACTTTCAAAACTAATACAAACTAAACCTTAACCAGTAATGCTGTATGCAAAGAACCTCAAATATTAATAAACTATTGTGAATACTTGAAAAAAGTAAATAAAGTAGATGTTAAAAAGATAAAAATTAAGAACAACTACGTGATTATTATCTTCATCTTCATCGTTATCATTAGAATCAACAATACTTACTTGTTATTCACAACAAATAAGCTTTTTTTAATAGCAAAAATATCGAGGTTTTCGTTTCATCACCATCATTAAAGTAAAAACATGCCACCAGTTACATATCTAAGTTTTTGTCCCCCCAGTTAAGAGGATTGCCTAGCATCACTCACACAAAAAAAAAAATAGTGATTAATGAATAATAATGATAGGTTATTTTAAATTTATTATATTTTAGTATTTAAAAGATAGGTAGGCTTAAATGGGATAGCCCTTACCCTTAACAGGCTAGTCTTTTTATTTTGAAGTCTTAAAAAACTAACTTGTTTAAACTCCTTAGAACACAAGCCTAATTCTTTATTTAAACAGGTTTAAAAAAGCTAACATAATGGGTTTGGATCATTTTGACAGCTCGAACCTTAGTATATAATCAATGTGAAAATAATATACCAGAGCCAAGATGTCCTTTCTTAGCAAATAATTCTATGCTTTCTTTTTGGTTTAGGATAATTTATTATTTGTATTTATAATTCACAATTCAATTGATCATTATTTACGAATTTTTTTCAACATTTCATTATACAAAATTAATTAATTTATAAGTAGTTCACTTTACATCGTATATAACAGTTTTTCGATACATAAGTTCTAACCCACTTTATGTTATTTATAACACAATTTCGTCCCGCATACATGAAAATGAATTTCTAGTAATTTGCAACTCATCTTCCTAATTTACAATACATATTAAAGAAATTGGAAAACTTATATACTTAATATACTTGTTTCCAATTAAATGAAGACGTGTATTATTTTATCCTTGAACCCTCAATTAACTCATGTTAATAATATCTTAAAGTTTTGAAAATTTTAAAAATCGAATTGTACTAATTTGATTGGAGATAAGTATATAAGATTAAGTACATAACTCTTCTCTTAAAATTATTCAATAATTGCAACTAATCATGTGGATTTCACAAATTTTAGGAGAGCTATTTCTCATTTAAAAACAGGAAGAGACTAAGATGAGCCGGTAATCTTAAAACTTAATGGCATATAAAGTCTTATATGCAAGTGAGAAGTTTTACGTGAGTTTGATCTCGTTTATATTTTCATTCAAGTAATTAAACTTAGAGTCATTAGTACTTGTTTTCTTTGTTTTTTTTTTGTGTCAACGTAGTGCTTGTCTCTTCAGATTATATGTAACCAAAAAAAAAAAAAAGACTGTAAGAGTACAACGCCAAGAAAATTTACTGTCCATATATAAATCGGAACCGTGGACAAGAACAAAATCAGAATGATGGACAAAGAGCAAATTATGATGATTGATTGCTCATCCTGTCACGGTTAAATTTGTTAACTTTAGGTGGTAAATTCCCCGGAACTTTGTAAATCATGTTCTTTTTTATCAGACAAAGCAACAGACAACTTAATCAGGCGAACCCGAATTTAAAAAGTTTAACTATAAATGTTTTTTTACGTGGAAAAACAAATTTACCTGTTTTACTATTAAAATTTTAAAAAAATTTTAAAAATCGAATTGTACTAATTTGATTGGAGATAAGTATATAAGATTAAGTACATAACTCTTTCTTAAAATTATTCAATAATTGCAAAATCATGTGGATTTCACAAATTTTAGGAGAGCTATTTCTCATTTAAAAAGACACGAAGAGACTAAGATGAGCCAGTAATCTTAAAACTTAATGGCATATAAAGTCTTATATGCAAGTGAGAAGTTTTACGTGAGTTTGATCTCGTTTATTTTTCATTCAAGTAATTAAACTTAGAGTCATTAGTACTTGTTCTCTTTGTTTTTTTTTTTTTGTCAACGTAGTGCTTGTCTCTTCAGATTATATGTAACCAAAAAAAAAAAAAGACTGTAAGAGTACAACACCAAGAAAATTTACTGTCCATATATAAATCGGAACCGTGGACAAGAACAAAATCAGAATGATGGACAAAGAGCAAATTATGATGATTGATTGCTCATCCTGTCACGGTTAAATTTGTTAACTTTAGGTAGTAAATTCCCGGAACTTTGTAAATCATGTTCTTTTTTTATCAGACAAAGCAACAGACAACTTAATCAGGCGAACCCGAATTTACCATGCTTTAATTTTGATGGAGATAAAGAAAAACAGCAACGACAGCAGTTCTCTCTCTCCCCCCCCCCCCCCCAAAAAAAAAAAAACCAGGCCAGAAGAAGAGAGCCAGAAACTGTACTGGAGAGAAAAATTGAAACAGGAATATAATTTAAGTGAAGCAGACAATTTTTTTTCCTTTTCTTTTTTAAAGAAACAAAGAAAAAGAACTGAAATGAAGAGCACACAATTTTTTCTTTTTTTCTTTTTTGACTTTAGAAAAAAGAAGAGGAAGAAAGGACCTACAAAAAAGAACATAAAAGAAGAGCAGACGATTTATTTTAACACTAAATGAAGAAAAAGAAAAAAGACAACGTACGATTGATGGATGGAAAAACGGCAGAAGAACAATAGAAACAACAGTAACTGGAGAGAAAAATCAATACAGGAATATAATTCAGGTTGAACACAGAATTTTTTTTTTTTTCCTTGTTTTTCTTACACACAAATGGAACGAACACACAAATTGGACAATTGGTGAAAGGAATCGAAACTGCAGAACAGTGGTGATTTGGTGAACAGAGAGAGGCTATCTGTTCAAAATACTTATCATTTGTGTGGAAGTGGGTGGATGTGATCACTATTCAAGACTGACTTTGCTTTTTTTAAGCACTTTCTGATGGGGCTTTGCAAAAGAAAGCCATGAAAAGAAAACGAAAGCATGAACAAGATGGAACAAGATGTTAGAGCTCTGCGCTCATGTGAAGCCGTAGATCCCATGTTCGTCAAGATCTACGCCAATATGAAAGTATCACTTATCTACATCTCACATATACAATTGTGTAAGTATATGAGGAGGCCTTGAAGCCCCCCCCCCCCTCTTTACTGATTATGGGAGTTTGCCAAATAAGTACTTATTCAATCTAACAAGACAAGACCAAATATGTTGACAAGCACTTTTTTAAGGCTCCGTTTGATTGATAGGAAGAATCGGTTGAAATGGACAAGAATAAAAAGAAAGGAAATGGAAAATTTCTAGTTAAAGGTCTGTTTGATAAGTACTAAAATGAAAAATAAATTCATGAAAAATTTTAATTTATGATTGATTTGATAAAAATGGATTGAAAAATTGTGCAATTTTAGCACTTCACCCTGAATAAAAGAATATAATATTATTAAATAAAAAAATCTTTTTAACCTTATAGAGTAATGATATTACTAAAAATATTTAATAATTCAAAAAAATAAATGAATAAAAACATTTTTTGACCGGTATTGATAATAAAAAATTTCCAGATACCAATAATTCCTATGCAACTTTTAAGACAAAATTGAATCTTAATCCAAGTAATTATGTATTTAAACTTATTTTCAAGATGAATTAGGTATCTCAAAATTAAAGGTGGCACAATGTTACCATTCCGCAAAACGTTTGTCAATTTGACAATTCATTGGATAGAAATTGTTAGGCACTGCTAAGTTCTTTGTTCTTTCTTTGGGGTTCTTTTCTGCATGCGACAAACCATTGACAATAAAGTAGAGGACCTGATCAATCACCACTCAAAAATTTGACTTTATTTTATCATTCTGAAACCTTCCTCAAGTTCTTCTAGCAAGAAAATTTCTTCAATTAAAGTATATATTCAGTTCACGTTTTATGGAGCCACTTCCTTTGTTAAGGAGTAGCATACTTAATTATTCCAATTAGTGTTACGGTATTCCTCTAAAAACATGTTGTTTATAACGTTTTTTTAAATCTTTCCCTATGAACTCTGTTATTTCTCAAATTTCCAGTTGTAATTCTGCTCTAAATTGCAGAGGACTCTATATATGTTTTCATACACGAATTGCTGTATATCAGCTTTTGAATATTACTCCTTCATTAACTATTCTCATAAGTTATCTTATTTGATAAAAGCATAGAGATTCGTAAGATCAGGCTTCCATGCTGCATTCGCCTGAAAATAGAGGATTTCAATTTAATAAAAACAAAAAAATCAAGTTAACTTCCTCTTTTTGTTTTTTGGGCCAAAAATACAACTTCATTGGAGAATCGTATAACATTTTTAGCCAACCTCATTTTTAATATTCAATTGCTTTATTTCTTCTCTCTATTAAGATTCTTGATCAAAACATAACAACACAATCATACTTTAAATAAGTGGGATTTTTCACAAACAAAAAGTTAAATCATTTTAATTATGCTACATTAAAAAAGAAGCAATCCAAATTTAACAAGGGATCCTAAAATATTTGATAGCATACCATGAGGCGTTCAATATGAAGACCATGAAGCTCAAACAGTACTCATTCAGTTAGAGGCCCAACAATCCCTCTAGAGTGTGCCTATCAATATTGCAGTAATATACTGCTTTTCTCAAACTAAGTACAGTCCCATCAAAAGTAACTCTTCAGAAATCTTTAAGCATGCTTATAATTTCAAGCAAGTCATAACAGTTTACCAACTTGCAATTTTTCAATAATATACAATCAAGTAGCATAAAAGGATGGGATGGTTTTGCATGGACTCAGAAGCACATATGGGTGACAACCCAACTAATAAACATACAACATTGTCGATTTTTTTAATACTATAATTAGGAAATATAAATATCAGTCTCCAACAGTCAAAGCTTCTGTTGAAGATGAACTCCTAGCAATAGTGTGGTTTTCTTCAAATTGGATAGACAGGAAGACCACTTGAAATCCATATTTTGTAGCTGTTGCTTTGCTTTTATATTTTCTTCCACCATGTGAGACTTTTCTTTCTTCACTTCCTCAAACTCCTTTATGAATCCCATTGTGTCAGAAACACTCTTTTTCTTCTGTTCTTTCAGAGATAACAGTTCCATATCACACTCTTGAATTTCTTTTTCCTTGCTATGCAGTTTAGCCTGAAACTTTGAGATTGTCTTCTTCAACTCTGCTTCCTTTAGCCGAGCCTCAGCCAAATAACTCTCTTTATTGTGAATTTCAGACAGAAGAGCAATTGCTGCTTCCTTTCTCTTTGAACGTTCTTCGATGGCAAGCTTCTCTTTTTCTTCAAGCTTGTTGAATGCGTCAATAGTGGCATAGGCTTTCTTGGAGGAAGATAGAACAGTTTGGATTTCTTGTTGCAGAGAAGCAATTGTAGCTTGAAGGCCATGAAAGGGCGCTCCATCTTCAAAACAATGAAAGGACAAGATGTTAAGAGCATTCTCAAGCCGAAGTTTGCCTTCTTCAGAGCAAGCTATTTCACTTAGACTCATCTTCAATGAGGTTCCCAAGTCAGTGAGAGCTTTACTCAGCTCGTTATCATCTTCAAATGCTGCAATTTTGGATCCATAAGGCATGTCAACTTCCATTTCAGTACCTTCCTCCATTATTTGGAATAATCTCATCAGATCATCTTCTGCAAATTGACAACGGTTTCCCTGGTCAAACTTAATTTGATTCTTAGTGGAGGTCCCTGGTTGATCCATGATTTTATCCTGTTGAAATAAATCAAATGAAACAACCATTATTGTAACCTATAGAATAGAATATAATAAAATAAAATGGCCCACAACACATTTGTGTCTAAACAATAGAACCACAACACATTTCAGCGGCGACAAAAAAGTCGCCGCAGAAAACACTTTCGGCGGCGACACTCTTGTCGCCGCTGAAAAGCATTTCAGCGGCGACAAATGTCGCCGCCGAAAGTGTTTTCTGCGGCGACTTTTTTGTCGCCGCTGAAAGTAATGCCTAAGAAGAATTGGCTTTACCAATGCACGTCATCACCGCCGGTGCCACGTCATCGTCTCCGGCCGCCACGTCAGCACCGTCGACCTCCACGTCATCGCCATCGGCGGCCACGTCATCACTGCCGACCGCCACATCATCGTCATTGCCACGTCACTCCTCCTCGCCACGTCATCGTCTAAATATTTTCACCTTAAATGTGTCTTCTTCCAGGTTCGAACTCGTGACCGCCTCCCTTCGTGTCCAACCTTCTTGCCGCTGAGCCAGATTGAATTTGTTTATTAATATTGTAAAATAAAATATATTATATATATATTATACTTTCAGCGGCGACAAAAAAAGTCGCCGCTGAAGGTCCACTTTTGGCGGCGACAAAAAAAGTCGCCGCTGAAGGTCCATTTTCGGCAATTTTTTTATTAATATTGTAAAATAAAATATATTATTATTATATTATACTTTTTGCGGCGACAAAAAAAGTCGCCGCTGAAGGTCCATTTTCGGCAATTTTTTTATTAATATTGTAAAATAAAATATATATTATTATATTATACTTTCAGCGACGACAAAAAAAAGTCGCCGCTGAAAGTCCACTTTTGGCGGCGACAAAAAAGTCGCCGCTGAAGGTCCACTTTCAGCGGCGACACTTTTGTCGCCGCTAAAAGTCTTGGTTTCAATAGCGAACTTTCAGCGGCGACTAGAAAAGTCGCCGCTGAAAGTCCACTTTCGGCGGCGACACTTTTGTCGCCGCTGAAAGTCTTGGTTTCAGCGGCGACTTTTTGGTGTCGCCGCCGAAAGTGGACTTTCAGCGGCGATTTTTTGTCGCCGCCGAAAGTCGTCGCCTAAAGTCTATTTTTTTGTAGTGGAATTCTTAATTAGGTGCATATTGAAAATAATAGTTCATACAAGTTAGTTTATTTATGCATTAAATTGTAATGGTGTTATTTTATTTATGTATTAATTAAACTGTAATGAAGTTAATGTATAGTGTCTCTAAAATACGGGACCATTTGCTTCATTAAAAAGGGAACTACCAGTTGATTATCAAATTGTTCTATTCTAGCATTAGTATATACCAGCTTTAAAGAATAAATTCCATCCCGAAATTGATGCAGTAACATGAAGGCTTACTTGTGCAGATTGATCAGTAATAGTAGAGCTGCCTGATTCCATTTCCACGTGAGGAGCTGAAGTTTTTTCTTGAGGCTTTTTTTGGAGAACATATTGAAGAGATCCAAGAGATTAGAGATTATAGAAAGGTTAATCTGAATGAAAATAAATAATGTATCAATAATGCAAATATATTGAAAACCAAGTATTTACCGTTGGAGGGTTCATTCCAGTAATAGAATTTTCTGGAATCATCATTGCCATTCTATTTGATGTTTCTTTGGAAGGGCATTCATTAGTAGGTTCTTCAACTCTTTGAGGAGCTTCATTGGAGCTTCTACTTTCTCCAAGTGCTTGTTGATCACACATTGGTTCCTTTTCACATAACTCCTAAGCAAAGGAATAATCAAGCAACAAGTGATATTTTTAAAGCAAAAAACTAATGAAACAAACCTACCTTTATAAAAACTGCTGTCCCTAGATTTGAGATTGTTCGCTCAGAATGAGTTGATGAACTTACATTGTAAACCAAATTATCCTGAATGAACATGAAAATGTAAAAACTATCACAAGGTTATGTCGTTTAGGAGCTAACTCAACCCACATCATGAAGGACTATATTCTTACTATTTATTTTATAAAGGAATAGCAGATGCTATTTGTGATGTATTACTTAATTTTGAATTCATGATTTAATATGCTTTTCTAGCTTCCTCTTATTTTGGTACCTTCTTGAATACTTCGTTTGTTTCTTAAATTTGTTTTAATTAGATTACCCATAGCGTCAACTTTGATAAATGTACAAGTACAAAAGCATTTGTTGAGGAAAGACTCTTACCCTATCAGACTTTGATGGTGGAATTGCTGCTGTATCTGAAGTAGGAATTTGTTCTTCAACAATTTCATCCGTTGATACCTTAGTATTCTGTATAGTTCATAAAATATGAATAAGTTGCTAAAGAAGTTCAATTAATCGAGAAGAAAGTCTTTTATTAATTGAGGAAAAAGCTCAATAAAAATACTACAAATTATTACTATTATAAGACATTTCCATTTCTACATTGCTGCATATATAACTGGGAAAAAAGACTGAGTGTGTGTATATATATAAAACGGTGAAAGTATTAATTGAGAATAACCCTACCACAACTGAGTTAGATGATCGAGTTGTAGAGAGCTTTTCTTCAACAATTTCATTTCCTGATACGTTGGCACTCTACATAGCCCATAAATTATGAATATGTCAGTTTCTAAAATGGTTAAAATAATTAAGAAGCATACAATATATATACATTAATAAAAAGAGAAATTGTTTGTTGGTCTGGGTCACTATTGTCATAGAAAAGCATAATATACATACCTCTATAAAATTTGACGAATTTGCGGTGCCTTTTTTAGCAATGTCCTTTGATAACTCATTACTCTAAACATAAAAAAAAAATGGTATAATAAAAAGAAGGTAAACTGAGCTTTGAAGTTATTAATAACTGTAATATATTAAATCTAAACACACAACATAAAAAAAATATCTTGATTTATTTGGAATAAATGGATAAGACAATGAGGTAAGAGAGAATTCATTAGTTAGTTTCTTGAGTATGCTTAGTCATAGGGAAGTATAAACACGTACATTTCAAAATTTGGAGAACCACGCTCTGTTGGGGCATTGCTGAGTCATTTCCAACATATTGTGGTTCCTCTTCTTCAATCTGAACAATAATAGAATATATATATATATATATATATATAAACATAAAAATAGTAATCTTCGCCCACAAAATAAGAAAAGTGGGGAAGTATTGAATTTCTACCAAAATTAATAGAAGTCTGGCACTAACCTCGCAAGCCCATTCCTGAATAATACCGTATGTGTAGTTGAAGGTCTTTTCTTGTGGAAAAGAATAATCGAGATAATCAAATACTGCACAAGCAAAACCACAATTTCGTTATCATTACTATGAGAAGAAATCATATGTAGCAGTTAATGATTTCGATTAACTACGTATATGTGAATACTTACTCTCAGAGGAGTTGACATTAGGTGAAGGGATATTGTTACAATCTTGCACAATACGGATTTTCACAGTTTGGAAATCAATTCCATGATAGATAGTGTGAAGACTTGGTAGTTTTACCAGTCTTATTGCAAGTAAATTTGGAAGCACATCCTTGATGACCAACTCTTGCGGCGCGCCCTGCTTCCTTTCAAATACGTGAGCAAGCTCAGGAGCATCTTCTATCTCCAACGTCAAGAGACATGGAAGTTTAGCACATGTAGAGACAGAGAATAAGCATTTCAACTTCTTGCAGTGCTTTACTCGAATATGGCATAGCTTTGGGAAACATGGTTGATGCAGATCCAAAGGATTTTGTTGATTCTCTTCATCATCCTCAATTATGCTCACCAACTCTTCACAGTCTGATATGAATAGCCTTCTCAATTCTGGTATGCTTCTCGTGGTACAAGCAGACAGTATGAACTTCAACTGTTTGCATTTTTCAAATTCTAGAACAGAAAGGTTTTGAAAGCTCAAAGAGATTTTAGGTCCCACATATATATCCCTTAAATCAGCCAACTCTTGCAAGTTCGAAAGTGCCTTACCTTTCTCCTTGAAAGATAATGCCTGTAAGCATACAATTGAGATATGTTAGTCTTAAAGAGTCTCTTTAGGTGATTGATTATAAGCTAGCAAACGGCAGAGAGGTTTACCTTTCTGCTTGAGAGATCTTCTTGTCTTTTGTGTCCACCAACCAAGAAATCTATAAAAGTTTGAGGAAGCTGTAGACATCCTTCAATACTAATATATTCTAGATTTAATACCTCCACGTAATAATTTTCTGTGGAAATACTAACCATATTTGGTAAATCTACAAGGTATATTGTTTTCAAGGCTGGGAGATTAAATTTACTCTGAACATTATGATTCTGATCAGCATGACATTCTCGAAATACATATTTCATCTTTTCTGCCTTCCCGATGCTCACATATCCCAACTCCTTAAAATCTTTTGAATAAAAAGCTGGGAATACAAATTCCAAATTGTTACAGCTCCAAATATAGACTTGTTGTAAGTTAGGAAAGATAGAGTGCACATTCATATGACCTTGACCATTAGGCCCCTCGTCTGTTATAATATGTTCCAGTGCGTCACACTCCTTGACATACAATGTTTCCAAGAACTTCAGTGATGAGGCAATGGATATGGTAAAGAGTGATGTTAACTTGGAAAATCCAGTTATCTCAATCCCTCTCAAATTGGATTGATATAATGGTAGTGGAAAATATCCATAAGCTGTACTTGGCACGTGCTTCGATTTGGATGCCTTGGTTAAATACAAACATGTTAATTCATTTTTTCCTTTTTCCTGGTAAATACATATGAATTCTCAATAAACTAATAAAGAACATTTTAGTATGTTGTTATATTTGAAAAAAATAGAAAGTACTTTTTCTGGTTCTTTACAGAACTTATGAAACCAAGAAGAATTCAGGAGAAATTTTATTCAGCTTTTCTAACAATTTATAAATTTTTTTATACATAATTTTTCTCCCCTAATTTTTCTATTGTAAAGAAATGCTCGCTTTTGATATAAATTGAGCTCAAACTGAAATTTCTATCTTTCGCTTTTCTATTATTTTCTATTTAAACAAGGAAAAATTGCAAATAATGGCCATAGAAAATATAAAATTGCAATTTGGATTCTTCAAATCCTAAAATTGTTGTCAAGAACTGGCTCTTAAATATAAATTAGCAAATATTGTATAAAAAACCAAATTGCCCTCCTATTACTTGGAATACTTAAATTGTTACTTGAAATACTTAACTTGTAATTTCTAAAATTGTACTTATTTTTTTCGTAGTACAAATTTATTATTTGAAATACTTCACTTGTAATTTTAAATGCTATGCTTGTTATTCCCAATAGTTCACTTGTTATTTTCAATAGGAAGGCAACTTGGTCTTATACTCAATATTTCATAATTCAAATTTAAGATGAGGTCCCTAGCAATAACTTTTTGAATTCAAAAATCCAAATTGCAATTTTATATTTTTCAAAATCTTTATTTGTGATTTTTTCTTTAAACAATTACCTAGAAGCCAAAATTATATATTTTAATCTATACGACATCAACTTTTATAATAAAAATTATAAAGAATGTAAATTTCAACATTCTAAATACTTCTGTAAATGAAAAAGTAAAATAACGAGGAAAAATTGAACAATATAAATGTTTTAAAGTGGAAGTCAGAGGTGAAAAAGTAACCTACTACTAACATAAGGCATATTTTTGAACAAGCTGTCAAAATCAATAATATATGTGTCTATACACACACAAAAAGCTACCACAAGTAGAAATCTTCACACAAAAGAATAAATTTTCTCTACTTAAATATTCACAAACTAAAAAAAAGATAGTAGGAAAGAGGTTTACCTTTTCCTTTGAGAGGTGATCTCTTTTTTGCACATCAATGGATAAATCTATAACATTATTTATGGGAAGTTGTGGGCAGTTTTTCAGACTTATATCTTGTAGAGATAATGCCTTCACAGAATACTTTTTGGTGCAAATACTCACCATATTTGGCACATCATGAAGGCTTAGTCTTTTGAGATCTAGGAGATTAAGTTCAATATGAACATTATGCCTCTGATTGGAATGACATTTTCCAAACACATATTTCAACTTTTCAGCATTGAAGACTTCAACTTGCTTTAAGTTGGAAAAGATACAACAATCATTCATATGACTGTAAGCATGCCCCTCATCTGTGACTATGTGCTCCAGTTCACCACATTTACTGATTGTTAATTCTTCTAACAATTTCAATGATGAGGCAATCGACAGGGTAAGAAGTGACTTCAACTCAGAAAATCCCTCTACACTCATCTTTCTTAAATTCTTGTATGGACATAATGAAGGTGTAAAAAGTCCACTAGCTTTACCGAGATGTTTCTCCTTTAATGCCTATGATACATTAAAATATTTGTCAATATGTTATTACATTACAAAATCACAATCATAGTAACCAAAAAAAGTGAGACAAAGTACCTGAGTAAGGTTCAATTGATTGGCCCTGGAAAAAGATAGTTCATTGATGCTAAAGGCACTTGCTTTTGAAGATAAACGACACAGAGGGCCCCATGATTTCTGCACTTGAGAAGACTGTGGGAAATAATATTCTGGATATATGTTGATGAATTTGGGTACGTTTGCAATTTCTATTTCTTGTAGTGAGGGGAGTATGGTTTCCTTTTCCATTTGACGCATACCTCCCTCCTCTAAACATTGCCGAAATATGAATTCTAGCTTATTACAACCACGGATTTTCACACTTTCTAGCTCTTTGCAAGGAAAAATTGGCAATATAAATTCCAATTCATGACATTCTTCAATGTTCAGAGACCTCAATTTCGGGAACATTGAGTGATGGGTCTTTTGATTACAATCATGATGATCATCCACTTTTTGCTCTGCAGATCTTTTATCATCACTTATTAGGCATTTCATCTTTGAGCATCCACTTATGTCCAAATTTTCCAGTTGCTTTAGACTTTGAGCTGTGGATAGACAGAAAAGATATGTCATCGAACAACCATTTAACTCTATAGACTTCAAACTACTTAGCTCTAGCTTGCCCTTCAATAGTGTGCCGTCTATTTCAGCACAACCACTTATGTATAGCTTCTCTAGTTGCTTGAGAAAGTCATTAGGAAAATCACCATGACATAATTCCCTCACACACATGTTAGAAAGTCGTAGCTCAACTAAGTTTGAGAAGATGGTTGCATGAGATTGAATTCCACTTGTATTGATGAGGCATTGTATTGCAGGCCAAGATTTCAAAGAAAGCCTAATTAAGCCATTCATGCCTTCATCTTCTTGAGGATCAACTATGTCAGGAATAAGGTTTGTCCATCTTGTATCATTACATTCTGTTAACTCAAGAATCTCTGCTCTTGCTGCCAGGGATTTGATTGTGCTTTCAGACAAGATCCCTTTTAACTTGGTTGAATTGAAATATCTTTTTGTTGAAGCATCCAATTGAAAAGAACGCTGGTAAGAGTAGTTGCCTTCTACATGATATATTCTAAATTCTTGATCAAGATCTATAATTTTAGAAGGCTTTGGATTAATTTTAAGAGTGTCATGATTTGAAATATAATACAATACTTCAAGTTTCGAGCATCTCCCAATCACTTCAAACGGGTTATTCTTTTCGATTGAACAATCTACCAAGCCTAGCAACCTCAGTTTCTCCTGTTGGCTAACTTCATTTGGCAATTCACTAATTGAACAATTTGTCAATTCAAGAGTTTGGAGTTTTTTGAGGTTTTGCAAAATAGATATATCACCCAACTCCCAATTTGTTAGGGACAGTGTTTGGATATTTTCAAGTGAATGAATTGATTTTGGTAGTGACAAGGCCAATGTTCTCCGAAACTTAACCTTAGAACACAAAAGCAAAACTCTAAGTCCCTTCATACCTCCAAAGAATGCCTCAGGAACTCCCAAAGGATGACTTGCATTATTTACCCATACTAAAAGAACCTCAAGATTAATGCCCTCAAAAGAGTTGGAAAAGTCATCTATCATCCAGGATGAATATTTTACATTCTCCTTCAATTTACTTTTAGAATCCGTGATTACTTGAATCTTTTCATCTCCTATTTGATGGGCTATATCACGAATCACATCGTGCATCTTTACAAATCCTTCTCTAGTAGTGAGCAATAAAGCAGAACGTACGAGTGTGGTTTTGATTGAAAGCACTTCACTTCTTGCTCTATAGTAGCTGCCAACATTTTCACTAAGCCTGAACCTATAGCAATTCTGCTTAAAACCTCTACTGGTATTTCATAAGCTCTTGGGAATATAGAACATAGCAGGATGAGATCTTGCGCTCCTCTATCTAGACACTTGAAGCTTATTTTCAGAGAATTGTAAAACTTTTTCACTTCTTCATCAATGTTCCCATGCCTTAAGGATGAATCTTTTTCTATTACTGCAAAAGCATCCTCCCATTCATTTGGATCCCAATTTCTAAAGGTTCGAGCAACTGCTACAATTACAACTGGTAAGTTTCCACACTCAATCACAACTTTTGATGCTAGCAACTTCAATTTATTAGGACAATCCTTCCCATTTTCAGTGGCATGATGTAGGAAAAGATTCACTGCGTCTTCCTCATGTAAGAGCCCTAGTTTAATAGTCTTTTGGCAGCTCATTCTTCTACAAATTGTCTCATAACGTGTGGTTAGCAAGACACAACACCGGCCCTGGCTATGGATGCCATGGTGAATCCCTATGTTCTCAAGTTTGAGCTCTTCCCAGACATCATCAAGTATTATGAGTACACTTCCAGCATTAGTGATTCTGATCCATATTTGTTCTGCGTGTGTTAAATCCTTGCCATCCTCCAACTTCAACTCCAATTTTTTTGCAATTTCATCTTGAATCTTCTTTTCGTCAACAGGATTAGGCACTTCAATGAAGACAACTTTATCAAATGCCTTTGAATTTTCAAGTTCCTTACCAATTGCTTTTGTCATTGTGGTTTTCCCTGATCCTCCCATTGCTTGCAATCCAATCCTATGTATATTGTCATTTTTCAGCTCCTCCCTAAGTTGTTCATAAACTAAGTTTCTACTCTTAAAATGCATAAACTCTTGTGAATAGAACTCCATGCCTGGAGGTCCAGCTGCACGTGCAACTTGTGAGAAGTTCTCAGCTTTCTCCATTATTGTTGGAATCTCTTGCATGATGCGCTCTAATTTCTTCGCCAGTGAATATTGCGAAAACCAATCATTACAGAAACCAAACCATTTCTTTGGTCTTGTTTCTTGCTGAATGAAGTTGTTGGCTTTTCGAACCCAATGCTTAACTAAAGGGTCAATTTGGGTTTCATTCCTTCTTTTGGCTTCTTTTATCTTCATGTCCACACTCTCCACTGCAGCTGACAATTCTCCTTTTTTCTCTTCAAATTCAGCTGCATAACTCTTGTAACAACACAAATATGGAAGTTCCTTTGTTACTTTGTCTACCAATACATCAGTGCATTTTGTTGCAGCAGCACTACTGGCAGCAATCTCCGCCATCTATCATACATAATGAGATTACAATTACAAAAACAACAAGGTCATATCGTGATGCCTCAGGCACAACTATACTATGATCCAATATTTAGCATAAAAAACAAATTATAGTAATCAAAATCTTAGTACTTGTATAGTGCACAAAATTTCGTAACCTCTATGTTTTAGATGAAACAATCCAATATAAATATGACAGGGAAGTTAGTTTGACAATCCATTGCACTCACAAAATGTTATGAGCCTCAAGCCTTAAAAGAAAAGTTCGATTTATAAATCTAAAGAGCTCTCTCTTCTAACAAGTTATTGTAGTCTTTTAGAATGTGCTCCATAACATTGCTAGGTTGATACGAAAATCTGAAGTCACTATAAATTAGAAAGAAAAAAGTGGTGAGAATTAAAAATATGTGAATATATGTATTTGTTTCTTTTTGTCAGTTTATGTAGTAGGTTTAAATGGAAATATCTAATAACATGAACATTTTTTACCTTAATAAATAAATTTATTATGTTAGCATAATATCAGAACTTATTTCTAGAGACCACAAATCAAAAATTGGAAAACTCAATAACCATAAATCTTATTGGTTTCTCCAAAAGCCACACCCACACCAATAGAATGCCGTTGCAAATAATTTGATTTCCTCATATGACTCTAAATTTTACAGTAAAATACTTCAACCTTTAATCTATTACATTTTGTCTTGCTCACATGATTTTCCATCATCTATTGTGATAACATACGCTTAAATTTCAAAAGATACTTTTTAATTAAATTTATATTAAAGTACTTTTGTTTACTAGTTTACATCCTGATACTAAATTTTTAATTTTGGCTAAAATATTTTTAAAGAATTTAAAAGTTTTCCCTTTTCCTTGATTTTTTATTTACTTTTGTAAATAGATATATTTATAATGTTTTTATCATGTTAGAAAAGAAGTTTAAATAATTTAGTCAACGATTAATATCATCTTTAGTTGTAAAAATTTGATCTTGTTTTAGTTTTAATTTGGTCCTTAAAATTTGAAACAAGTGCTTTTGATTTTTAAAATTTAACTTTATTTTGATCTGTTTACAGATTTTTTGTTTACGGAACAGTTTTTTTTTTGGTTCATGAAAGTATGAAATTTTAGAAACTAAAATTAAAATAAGATCAAATTTTAAAAACTAGAGATGATATTTACCCTTTACTTAATGTATACATGAAAAAACTTGATTGAAAATTTGATTAATTTTTGAAAAAAAATATATAACTGACTGAGTATGTTTATAAGTCTTTGTAACTAAAGCTTTGTTAAAAATTTTATATTTTAAATTTAAATTGTTTATATAATCTCCCAATCTTGCATCATTTATAATTATAATATATGATGAAAAAATATGTGTTTGAAATATTTGTTAGCCATTAATTTGAAAAAAAAAACTCAATAAATAAGTTCCAATACATGTGATGAAAGATTAAAATTACAAAAGTTTATAATATAATCAAAATTAACTTTACAACATATTAGAAAGCTTGAAAATATATGTATTAAAGTTATTTTTTGTTGTATAAAAAATATTTATTTGAAAAATATAATATAAATATTTAAATAATTTTTATGTTAAGCAGGTGTATTTTTGTCAAAACAAAATTTTAAGAGTCAAACTTTAAGAGAACTAACATTTAGATGAACGAAAATGGCATATCAATTATATAAGAAAGATTTCTATAACATATGATTTAATTTCAAAGAATGTTCATGCACAATTTTAAAATAAATGAAAGGCTTTTATAATTTAAGTAAAATAATTGTATCTCCCGTACTCTCATGGTCACAATGACGTGAAGGATGAGACGGAAGGGCGGGATGAACCATGGTTTAGTCACAAAATTAATGATAGAATATTTTGATGACAAGCATTTTAATAATGACATTGAGAAATAGAAATTCATAATTTTGAGCATTTCCATTACCAAATACTTTATAATAGAATTAGTGATGGATTATTGATAGATTGTTTGACAGAATAATTTTGTTGTTAATTCTAATCATGAAATTAGTAACAGAATAAAATTGGGTCGCTAAATTATATTGTTAATTTATTGTTTTTTTCGTGATATTAAAGACGTTGATTTGGAAGCTCGTAATATCAATATTATGAAATTCTATGCTTACTTCTTGACTCTTGTCCGAGTATTTCAAACTCTATGATAGGAAGGACCTTCTTCTTGCTTCTTGGTTTGACCCTAATAAAAAAGCGACATTATCCAAATGTCAGAGAAAAATTAAGGGAATGATAACCTAAATTGTAAAGACATAAAAATTTAGATAAGAATAAGAAAAATTTGAGAAAAATTTCCCTATTGAAAATCTTATTAGTGAGGAGGACCTGAATCAAAATGTCAGTATTACTATTATATGTGTTGCAAAGTCTTGATATTTTCTGTGTACAAAAATCTATCAAGTCCTTATCACTAGCAAAATTTTTAATGGTGTTAACTCTTTTTAAACGGTTTTAAACAGTAGGGATTAATAAAGCTAACTGCGTAAACTTAAAGGACTTAATAAAAAATCTAAAAAAATGCAGGGACTTGATTCAAAATTCAAGTAAACTATAAGAACTGGGAAACTAATTTTTCCCATATTATAAATCATGTTTTAACCGTCCAAAAATTACTTTGAGAAACTCAAACAAACAAGCTCTTTAATTATTCAATTCAATTCTCAATGATTAAAAAAAATAAGCTGGCTTGTTGACAAATTTTTTTAATTGTGATTTTTACTGCTTTTTTTTTTTTTGGTCTGACAGCCTTGCTTAAACCATTGATGATAAAAACATAAAACCATACAAGTTATTGATTGGCTAAAATGTACATTTGGTCCTTTAATTTTGTATATGATTTCAATTTAATTCCTTAATTTTAAAAAGTATACTTTTAGTTCTTTAACCCTAAAATTTTTTAAGAAAATGATGACATTAAGATATTAAATGTTAATAAAACATTCTCAAATACTAACATATTAAGTTTAATTTTCAAAAAATCCATGATTGTTACAAAAAAATCATCATTAAAGTCTAATGATTTTAGGGTTAAGGACCAAATGTATACATTTTAAAGTTAAGGGACCAAATTGAAACCTTGTACAAAGTTAAAGAACCAAATGTATACTATAACCTTATTAATTTATATGTTCCTATAGTGAGATAAATATAAAAAGTATAAAGAGCCGTATTGTTCACAAATAGTAGAAGATGCAGTTAATTGTATAATATATATAAATACGCGTAACCCGCTTTAGTTTATAATTTAACAAAGCTATTGCAGAAGTTTCTGAGCATAAATGAAATCTACGACCAAAGCTATGCATATATTAACCTGTAAATAGGAATTATTCAAGTATGACTCACATGACCGATCAAGATCTAAGAAATAAAAGCAAGTTAAAACATAAAAAAGAAGTTGAAGAGAGCATATGTGTAAAAGAGAATTCATAAGTATCATGGAGTTTAAATCCTTACCTCTTAGAGATTTCTATGCTGCAATGCTTCTGACATAAAAGCCTCTTCTTCTTCTTTCTCTGTTTTTTTTTTTTGGTGGTTTGAGAAAAGGAAATACAAGAGAAGATTTCAACACAACTTTTTTTTTTTGTTTTCTCTAAGTAAGAACTAGCTAAACAACAATAATAACAATAGACAAAGATAAGAATAAGAAAATAACTCAAATGCCAGAAAATAAAGCTTGGAGAAAAAACAGGTTCTTTCAATCGACAAACTTTGAAACAAAACCCAAAGCCTTTAGATTTCTTTTTCTTGCTTTGTTTTCTCTAAATGAGAAGGAGAAAAGCAACTCAAAACAGAAAAGCAAGAGCTTCAAAAGATTTTTATGATTAGAAAGAGAAATGAGAGCGAGAACAGAGGAAGAGCACAGAAATTACAGAAAGAAGAAGCAAGAAGTACAATAAGAGAAAGAATAGCCAGTGGGTCCCATAAATTTTTATATTTAACAATCTTTCGCCATCAATTAATTTCTCTCTCTTTCCCTTCCAGCAATGCCCCTCTTTCTCTTCCATTAAAAGCACAGTTCCCTTTCTTTTAGTTTGAAAGCTCTACAGTTAAAAAGTAAGTGGATCTGCTTAGTTTATCATAATTTTAAAAATTTTATTCCTATCAATTTTATTATTAGAAAACCCATGCATTACAATTTTACTAGAGAAATAGATCTAATGAATATAAGTATAGACTTAAATTTTGTCCTCTAAAATATATCTAACATCATAAAATATATTTTTCAGTACATTTAATATATTAAAATATTTTTTTACAATTTTACACTTAGCATAATATAGAAGTTGTTATGAAAAATTAGCGCAATCCAAAGCAATAGAGAATTTGAATTTAACGCAATTTAAAATATTTTTTAGTACTTTAAAATATTTTTTAGTACTTTAAAATATTTTTTAATGTAATTTAAAATACTTGATATACTAGAAAATAATTTAGAATGCTGGATGCATTTAATAAAATATTTTAAGGTGCTAAATATACTTTAACTCATATGATAATATAAAGGTTAAAACATACTTCTAGTCTTTTAATTTTATATAAGGTTTTAATTTAGTTTTTTGACTTTAAAAAAATATACTTTTAGTCCATTTATCCTAAAATTATTAACAAAAAATAATAATAATGAGAACTTGAATGTTAATAAAATATTATTAAAAACTAACATATTAAGTTTAATTTTCAAAATAATTATAATTGTTATAGAAAATCATCATTTAAAACTAGCAATTTTAAAGTTAAAGGACTAAAAATATACTTTTTAAAATTAAGACTAAAAATTTATATAAAAATAAAAGACTAAATATATACTTTAACCTAATATAAAAGTTAGTATATAAAATTATTGATCCACGCAAATTTAAAATTTTGATAGATATAATTAAAATAATAAACATGGAATTGGGATGAATTTAGTTACAGTATATATCATACATATATTATTTATTTCAATTGATAT